GTGATATGAAATATGGGCAAGATAACAGGCTTGGAGTCCAAAATGTAAATCACCCCTCTGCTATTATTTACATATTTCTTGGCACTTCCTCTATTCCCATTATTGCTCTTTTTCCCACCATTTGCCACACTTCCTTCAGGAAATCCCTGCTCCTTGCCAAACATACTTCCCTACACATTCAACATCTTCTCAGAACACTTCTTCCTCTCCTTGATTTAATAAAGCTGAGTTCTTCTCTGAGGACCATACTTCATTTACATCCCCTCAATGCTTCTTTGAGATAATTGTTTCTCCTCTTTTTGTAAAGATATATCTCTTCTGAGGCTCATATTATTTGGCTAGAACTACAATCATTTCTTATTATTGTTAGCTAGCAGTTCTCTTCATTTATGGAAGTCTTTAGTAGCTGGCTCAGTCTTCATCTCCCTCAATTCCAGCCATGGGTGCTGACACATCAAATACTCAAGCCTCACAGTTTCCGGACCTTTTAACTCCAATAACTTTGATGTCTACTCCAATTCTACCAACCACTCAAATGGTCACATTAACCTTGTTGTCAAGAATTGTTACATCTCAGAAATCTAAAATCTAACAACAACCTCCCATCCTTTCAGTGCTCTAATACACTGTATTTCAAAAACTTGTTATCCTCCCCTGCCATGAGACCTCTAGCTTTCAAACCCTTCAATTTTTTTCCTCAACCTAATAGCTTCATCCTGTCTTTTCTTCCATTCCTGACCAAGTGAGACTCCAAGGTCTATCACTTCAACTCCTAATCTACCAAGAGTGTTGCAATAATCTACTCAAACTCCAGTAACTGTAATTTCCCTGTATTTTGTCTGGTATGCTGAATGCTGCCAGAGAAAATCACACAATTGTAAAGATTAATATTCTTCGTGTCCAATTTCAGCTAAATCATCAATGCTGCCTGGCGATAATTTATTTCCCATTCACCAGAGTGGCTATTTCAAACTTTTGTCCACTTTTCTCAAACCCTGTACCCTATCACCTGCCCTTCATTCTCAGCAGATGACTCTATTTGCTCCATCAGAGAGAAGAGAAAGACCATAGGCTGAAATTCTCTGTCAGTCTGTCAAACCCCCTGGCCAAACCTACACATTGATCCTTATATTTTCTGTCTTCTTTCTTCTTACAGTAGAAAGATTACTTTCCTCCACTCTTGCACTAATCTTTCATGTTAGCTCTGATTCTCATTCCCTGCTGCCTTATCAGAAACCTTGTTTCAAGAATTAGTCTTTTCCCTCTATCTTTTCAACTCTTCCTTCCTGTTGACCTGTGAACACATATGGAGTTGAAACAACATGAAATTAGGCCATAGTGGGTTTAAAAAAAACCGAAAAGGCAAATAGAAAATATTTATGGGCTGGCTCATTGTCACAGAGAGACATGAGCTATACTTCCTCATGGAAGTACCCTGGCAATATGTATTGAAATGGTCTCATATATTGGATGGCTCATATTTGGGATATCCCATTACTACATATAGAGAAAACCTGTTGTTCTGGATCTATATCTCCCTGATGATGTATCAATTGATCACTTGACTTTTGTTCTATGTACTTACAACAAAACAAAGAAGTTTCTGTAAATCTGGGTGCTAGGGAATAGCTCCTGAGTAGTTAAGTGGAAGCTGCATTCTAGGAGTATTAGTTGACAGAGAATAAATCTTTTAAATGATATAGGAAGTCATAATGTACAATCATTCATCTCCCTCCCTGAGGATAAACAGAAGATTTGTGTTCTCTACCCTCATTTGCTAAGTTTATTTGAATATTCAAAGACATTTTCCCATTCACTATTCCTGTTGATAGAGTGCCAGTGACTGACAACCCCAGAATACCATTTTTGTTTAAATAGTGTCTATATATTCTTTAAAAGCATAGGAAAAAAAAAACAGCCTTGATTTCTGTGGACCCCAAAAGGCTCTATAGGGCTTCTTGGAAGGCAAATAGTGTTGGCAGCTGGACTCGGGTCAAGAACCTTAAGAAGTAAGATATTTGACCCTTTAATTACCCAAAGACACAAAAGCCAACACAGCCTACCCATCTACATTTTTTGGTGAAGAACAAAGAGTGGCTGGTGAAGAAATTGCCCCAGCTGCTCCCTCTCCATATAAAATATAAAGAAAAAGTTTTTTCCACCCTTGGTAGTAACTCTGAGATAAGCTGTAATTGAAGGTCAATATCTCTTTCTAGCCTTAGATGAAGATATTCAAAAACCAAAAAGAACTGTCTTGCTAGATGTGGGGGCTCATTCCTGTAATCCCAGTGACTTGGGAGGCTGATGTGGAAGGATGGTTTGAGCCCAGAAATTTGAAACCAGCCTAGGCAAAACCCTATGCCTAAAGATAAAAGCTAGGCCAGGTGCAGTGGCTTATGCCTGCAATCCCAGCACTTTGGGAGACCAAGGCAGGAGGATTGCTGCTGCAGAAGGAGGCCAAGAGTTTGGAACCAGCCTGCGTAACATAGGTAGACCCTCTTCTCTACAAAAAGTATAAAAATTAGCCTTGTGTGGTGGCACATTCCTGCAGTCCCAGCTACTTGGGAGGCTCATGTGGTAGGATCGCTTGAGCCTAAGAGTCTGAAGCTCCAATGAGCCATGATTGCACCACTGTACTCCAGCCTGGGTGATAGATCAATACCCTGACTCTAAGAAAAAAAAAAAAAAAAAAAAAAAAGAAAAGGAAAGAAAAGGAAAGAATTGCCTTTCACAATCCCACAAAACAAATTAATTTAATGGGTGACTGTTAGACTTATTTTTATTCTCTTTTTAGAAAGACTAATTAGCAATATTCCTTGAAATAATCAGTTACTCTAATACAGTCAAGTAATACATTTGTATATAAGTTAAATTTATTTGAAAAGAAGCAGACCTGCACTAGACTTCAATGCATAGAGCCAAACCAGTTTCAGGCTGGGTCAACCCATGCGAGCTCAACAGGTTTTGAAGTAATTAGGAGAGGGACAGGTGTCAGGGGATTAGAAATATCAGTTGGGGCAATGGAGGGACAGGTGGAATGGAGGATTAGAAATATTGGTTGGGGCAATATCTAGAGGGAGTCTATGCTCTGTCTTAAGACATGCTTATTCTGGGATCAGGAGGAGACAATCAAGAGGCTTTTTGGTATTATCTGGTTCCTATAGGCTAAAGTGTTAAAAGATGATCGTTTTGGGGAAGTTAGGACTTACCTGTTCGAGAAAAAACAGTGAAGAGGGTCTCCATGCCAGCATGGACATGGTCAGTCACATGGCAGTGCAACAACCATGTCCCAGGGTTGCTGGCCACCATCTCTACCACCTCAAAAGTCCCTGGGAACAGATCCACCACATCTGCCCGGTAGTTCTCACCATTCTGCAAGAGAGATTGGGAATGAGGAAGAGGAAGTGAAGGATATAAAGATCATCTTAGAGCTTTCAGGAACTAAAAATTTGTGATGTCCACATTAGGGAGCTGAGACTCCAAGATTCCTAGACCAGTGAATGGCTTTAAAAGTCTACTTTATCGAAACCATCCTGGCTAACGCAGTGAAATCTCGTCTCTACTAAAAAATACAAAAAAAAAAAAAAAAAAAATAGCCTGGTGTGGTGGCAGACGCCTGCAGTCCCAGCTACTCAGAAGGCAGAAACAGTAGAATGGTGTGAACCTGGGAGATGGAGCTTGCAGTAAGCTGAGATCACGCCACTGCATTCCAGCCTGGACGACAGAGTGAGACTCCATCTCAAAAAAAAAAAAAAAAAAAAAAGTCCACTTTATTCGTATCTCCAATGAACCCACCCACAGAAACTAAATCAACAGAGGTGACTTTCTCCTCTTAAAGTGTCCCAAAGTAAGATAATTTCTAGGTTACTTTAGAGAGTTCAAAACAAGTATCTTTATAATTTTCAGCAGGCTAAAATATGAAGAATTTGGTGTAAGCTTTCACCCCTATGAATGAGGCATATATTTCCTTTAGAAATTGATTCAAATAGGCCAGGCGTGGTGGCTCAAGCCTGTAATCCCAGCACTTTGGGAGGCCGAGACGGGCGGATCACGAGGTCAGGAGATCGAGACCATCCTGCCTAACACGGTGAAACCCCATCTCTACCAAAAAATACAAAAAAAAATTAGCCAGGCGAGGTGGCAGGCGCCTGTAGTCCCAGCTACTCGGGAGGCTGAGGCGGAGCTTACAGTGAGCCAAGATCCAGCCACTGCACTCCAGCCTGGGCGACAAAGCGAGACTCCGTCTCAAAAAAAAAAAAAAAAAAAAAAAAAAAAAGAAAAGAAATTGATTGAAATAAAGTTATCTTTGCCATTGTCTTTTTCAGCACTTCTAAATCTCGAAGTCTATATCAGTGCCCCCAACTCTTCCACCTTTACCTAAGACTAAACTGTTTTCAAAATCTACATATTGTTCCATGTGCCCTCTAAGTTGAAGCTCTTCTTTTAATAGATTAAGGACTTTCAGCAATTCTGAGATGCCACTCTGAAATTCCTTGTTCTTAAAAATCACTGCTCATTGAGTCTCAAGTCCTTGACATTGATTCCTTGACATTGAGTCCTTGACATTGAGTCTTGATATTGATTCCTTCAGTCTCCTTACCGATAAATGAACCATTTTTTCTCTTCCACATCAGAAGAGAAAGCTAGGGCCTAGCAGGAAGTTATTGACCCTGGGATATACAGCCAGACTAAAATTTCCAGCTCAGTACTCCATGTACTAGACCTCTGCTCTTTTAACTAGTTGTTACCTTGTTCCACGCTATTACCCTTTTTCTCAATTGCTGCTAAACCACTGTTCTAATCATCCTTGAGGGACTCAGCCCCCTTTCCAGCTCACCCGATAGAGGAAGCTCTCTGCATGAAAGTGGATGGTATGCAGGTCCACATCTTGGCCCATGCCCAGCATGTACCAGGCCACTCGTTCTCCTTGGTACATGGTAAGACCCCTAAGGTTGGCATAGAGTTTCCCATTGATTGCTGTCAAAAAAGAAGAAGAAGAAGAAGAAGAAGAAGAAGAAGCTTCTTACATCTCTCCTTTTGACTTCCCATTGCCACTGACCTGGTCCTAATCTTTTTTCTCGAAGATAGCAATGGGCTCCTAATTTGTCTCATCTTTATTCCATCTGTCCCTTTTCAAGGTATCTTCTTACATTAATATTATCAAAATTATCTCTCTAAATAACTGAATGTGATGACATAATTCTGCTGCTTCAAATATTTTAATTACTCTCTCCTGCTCCAAAGAGCAAATCCATGGATCCTTACTTCACCCAACAAGATCCTTCAAAATATAACTTCAAACCACCTTCCCAGATTTAACTCCCACTACCCAACATGCTTATTCTAATTAGGGTGATTTCTTCACCATCCCTCAAATGGTCTATGCATGTTCTTTTTATCCTTGTGTTTCTAAGATTCCCTACTAGAAATCCTGCCTTCTTTTATAAAATTTTTAAAGCCTAGTCAAGTCTTCACTCCCCCAGAAAGACTTTCCTGATCTCCTAGTTCCTCTCCATACCTCTCATTCCCTGCATGCCCTTCCACCTGTGAACTCCTCCAGTACTGTCTCATGACTCATTGGAACTCATAAGAAATTGTCTTCTACATTTACCTGTCTTTTCATGTGTGAAAGCTTACATCTCTAATTAGACTATAGGTTCCTAATATGCAGAAAAGGATGTATGTATACACTGCATTACTATGGCTTCCTTGTGTTTTTTCAGAACACCCAGTAGACAGCTGAGTCAACATTAAATGTTAAAAAAAAAAGACCTGCCACATTCATGGAATTAATAACATTAATGCATAGAATAGTGATATTAATGCCTGGGATAATAACATATATTAATGTATGGGTCTCTTCCCAGGCCACATCTTATGCTCCAAGGACATCAAAGTACTTATTGTTATAAAAATTCACACTTCCAGGACTTTTCCCTGGACAATTTTCCCCCACTTCTCATGTTCTTACAGAGGGAAGATAATTTCCACTTTATTCCTCAAGAGAGGAAGCAATCATTTATAATCCGTATCTGTGTCTACCAAATTGTGGATTTCAGAGAGGAAACTAAACATGATCAACTCATCCTCTTATTGATCTTTTCTCTCACTCATCAGTCGGGCCACAGAAATGGGCAATAGCTGATTCATTATTTCACTGTGGGTATGATTCTCCCTCTGCCAAAGAGGAAAGTATTGCTGTCCATCTATGTCAATGACAAGGTGGAAATGTCTATCTGTTGCCAGAGAAGTGTGAGTAAGCCTATTTAGTTGTAGAACTGAAATCAGTTTTTCCATTAGCCTTCTTAGTAATAAGGTTCACATTTGATCTTAAGCATCTGTCTTTCTCAGTTGGTTCAGGAACCTGAAAAGGAAGAGAGGGATATTATTTATTTACCCCTCAGATGCAAATATCTCCAGTGCTAGCACTCTGAAACTGCACAACAAATACCTGCTAGATGGAAAGTTAGGTATATTTATACCTGAAGAATGTGGATAGACACATAAACAAACAGAAGAAAGTAAGCATTAGCCAAACCCCTGCATTAACAGGATGTAACTGTGCCCTCTTTCCCTTTTTGTCCTGGGTCATTTCTTTGATTTGACAGGTGTTAAAATGTCTGCCCTGTGAAGTGTGTGAATCATCTGTTGTAATGTGAATCATTCATCACTCCATCAGGGAGAAATAGCTAAAATCTGTGGGATAATAATATACTACTTTTTAGTTCCATTAGAATCACTATCAAAGGTACATATCCTCAGATCAAAGAAATCTTGGGCTAGAAGGAATAGTGAGAGATCACTTCATTCTACTGCACTTATGCTCTCCCCTCTTTCTCTTGTTTTTGAAAAGCTACACAGATCTCTCGAGCAAAGGAAGGCTTTGATGCACAATTTCTCTCCAAAATCCATTCAAGTACCAGAAAGTTCTTCCCTGTATCTGACATAAATCCAGTATGCTTCTCACTGAGGCTGTCTTCTTCAATTCTTCCATCTATAAATGGAAACTCTTTTAAAAAGAGACTAAAATACAAGCTTTCATCTGGCTGTATTGGAATCCATTGAGATAACTGGTCCCAAATTTAGAGCAGTAAATAAATAAGATGATATTGGGAAACTAAACTCAGGGTTTTAAAATAGAGAGGCACTAAGCAGTCAGCTTGACAAGTACATTGAAGGTCATACATGTCCATTTTGCCTTCTCTAATATGTTAAAATTTGCTGGTATCACCATGGCAACTTTACACAGTCAACTTCCTGCTTTCTGGGCACCCAATCTAACCTGGACCACATATCTGCCTTTGTATATGTAAATGTACGATAGTAGGAAATGCTTCTTCTGACTCATTCTCATTTCACCTTACCATGTTCGTGTCCTTTCTGGGATTATGTTCCCTTATAGTAATAGGCCTATTAGATATCCCCATGTAACCAGTAGAGACTGCTTTGGAAAAAGAGTAGGTTTTTTTTACTACTGACCATGCATTTTATTACTCTCCAAGAAAGTTTCATCCTGTAGATTAATACTGCCTGGATCCTGGGACCCATGGGTTGCCACATTTTCCTCCAAATACCAAGACTGATTTTCATCAAAAATCAAAAACAACAACGCAAATTCCCGATCCATGTCACTCCGTCCTCCGTGGGGCTCCAGGATGCCCTTTCGGCAGATAGTCAAGGGCCCCACCAGGCCACTATACATGTCCTGAGGAAGGGAGGAAGTGGGAGAGACAGAAAGAGATGGAGTTGTTTCTGGGTAGCAGTACTCTGCAGGGAGCCAGTTTCTCATACAAGCCCACTGTGCCTCTCAGCATTTCCTCATGATATCTTACATTTATAAGTACCCCACTATGTTATTTGAATTCATTCTAACAATTATCTTGGGACTTAGTTAAGATGCACTATCTGACCTATGCTTTATCTAGGCTAAAGTATTTATTGACCTCTTAGCCTACCCAGCATCTTTACAACCTAGTGTCTTTTTTGTGCTGTTTCCTCTGCCTGCAATGCCCTCCCCATCATCGTATCGCTTATCTGATGGCATAATGTGACTCAGCTTTTAAGGCCAAGAGTACATGCACCTCCCATTGTGATGCCTTCTCCAGGTTCTCTCTTGCTTAACTAGACAATACTCTTTGAAGGTGGAAATGTATCTTAAATTTATATCATCCAAAGCACCAAGTAAAATGCCTAAAATGTGGTAGGCACTCAATAAATGATTGTTAATGGCTGGCTGTAGATGGATGGCTAGATCGATAAATCCATTTTCCAGATGAGGAAACAGAGGCAGAATGACTTATTTAAGGTCATTCTAAAAGCATGCTATAACCAAATTTGGGACTAGAGCCTCAATCTCTGTACAACCAACCCCAGGTTTCTTTTGTGTTTTCTGTTTGCTTGTGTGTGGTTTTTTTTTTTTTTTTTTTTTTTTTTTTTTTTTTTTTTTTTTTTTTTTTTGTAATGAGAGCATGTTACTATATAGGATCCAAAATGAAAAGATAAGAAAGAAAATCTTTGTGACAAGTATCTGGTGCTGCCCATTCCCTTCCTCCCTCCTCCTGTCTATTAAAATAAGTCCAGCTTTTGAGGAATGTTCCCCAAATTCTAGGCTGTAGTATCTCAGGAGCAAGCTTCTTACTACACCTGGTTAATAGCTTCTTTTTGCCGGGAGTTTGACCCACTTCCAGGTAGCCAATCTTGTATTTACCTTGATGGGATCCACTGCAGAATAATAGATCCAGGAAACACAAGCAGAGTCATTGGGCCCAGGGCCAGATCTTTCTGGGATGTTCCACTGATAAGTGAGCACCTCACCTAGGAAGTGTAACAAGGAACCTCCAGTTGCACTGGGTCAGAAATTTCTCTCAATTCCCAGGTCTCCCCAAGAGGCAGTGGTGGGTGAATCCCATCCTCTTTAAGATCTTCATCCTTTCTCCATCATTTTATTTTTGTGACCTTGTGCTTCTCCCTCCTGGGACACCCTCAACCTTTCTTTTCTGCTTTCCCTTTCCTCAAAGGCCCAGGTCCAATACTCTGGTAAGGCAGCCTTGCTATTTTTTTTTCCTGCTTTTAATATCCTCTTTATCTTTGCGGGGAAGGCAGGGGACGGGGGAGGCAGGGTGAGATTCTCTGCTGTGGTTTATTTTTTCCAGCTGCTGTCTCCTAAATGCAGTTGTTTGCACAAAGTTCTGTCTCAGTTCTCTTCTCTCTTTCCATACTCTCTCCTTGGAACCTTTAGTCACCTTTCTGATGTCAACTATGATCTGTGCATCAATGACTCTTAAATACTTAGTTCCAGCCAGACTCACCTTGTTACTCAGCTCCAATTCCAAATATTCTATTAGATACTGAATATATTTTAAAGATTGTCCTGACAGCACCAGGAAAATAGATTGTATGAACTCACCTCCCTCCTTTGAAAAACCACCCTCTTTCCCAATCTGTGCTCCCAGTGTCTATCTAGAAATAACACTATCACTCTTGTACTTACTCAGACTCAAAACTTTAATCTTCTTTACTTCTTCACTTTCATAATTCAACATCTAACCAAATGGCAGGTCTTATTGATTCTACCTCTACATTATATTTTAGAACCATCCTCTTCTCCTTTCAATTATCATTACTCTTGCCCTAGTTTAGACCCTTGTTTTCTTAACTGAACCATTACAAAGCCTCCTAACATGTTTCTCTGCCTCCAGCCTTGCCCTCTCCAATTCATCTTCCAAATAATGTTACATTAATCTTTTCTAACAACTTTATTGAGATATAATTTGCATACAATACAATTCAACCATTTAAAATGTTCAATTCAATGTTTTTTAGTATATTACCAGAAGTTTGTAACCACCACGATTCATTTTGCATTTCATTACCACCAAAAGAACTCCTGTACTGCCCTCACCCTCTCATCCACCCACCCACCCCCACCACACCCCACCCAAGGTAATCAATATTCTACTTTCTGTCTCTATAGACTTGTCCACTTTGGGCATTCCATAGATATTGAATTATATCATACATTTCATTTTGTGACTGATTTTTTATTTAATATGTTTTCATTGTCCATCCACGTTGTAGCACATATCAATACTTAATTGTGTTTATTGACAAATATTCCATTGAATAGATATACCACATTTTATTCATTCATTCTTCAGTTGATGAACATTTGGGTCATTTCCACTTTTTAGTTATTATGAATAGTGCTGCTATCAGCATTTGTTTACAAGTTTTTATGTGGATATATGTTTTCATTTATTCCTGAGTTTATGGTAACGCTGTGTTTAACCACTTAAAGAATTGCCAAACTGCTTCCAAAGCACCTGCACCATTTTGCATTCTCACCAGCAACATATTAGGGTTCCAATTTCTCAACATCTGCATGAACACTAGCTATCGTCTGCTTTTAAAAAAAATTATTTTCGTTATCCTAGCATGTGAAAAATGTTATCTCACTACAGTTTTTATTTCCAATTCTCTGATGGCTAACAATATTGAGCATCTTCTCTTGTGCTTAATAGCCATTTTAACATCTTCTTGGGAGCAATGTTTATTCAAATCCTTTGCCCATTTTAAATTCGGTTATGTGTTTTTTGATAATAGCATTGTCAAATAACAATGACATCAAGCAATAGTTCCTTATGGATTCTGGATACAAGTCCCTTATCAGATATATGATTATGGAATTATTTCATATCCTGTGGATTGCCTTTTCACTTTTTATGGTGTCCTTTAAAGGATACTTTAAATTTTAAGCTATTTCAATTTATTTGTTCACTTGTGCTTTTAGTGGTGTATAAAGGAAACCATTGCCTAATCCAAGGTTATGAATGTTTGCTCATTTATTTTCTCCTAGAAGTATAGCTTTAGCTTTTATATTTGGGTCTTTGATCCATTTTGAGTTGATTTTGATTTTTCTGTATGTTGTGAGTTAGAGGTTCAATTTCATAGTTTTGTATGTGGATATTCAGTTGCCTCTGCACCATTTATTGAAAAGACTATTTTTTTTTTCCATTGAAAGGTCTTGGCACTTTTGTTGAAAATCAGTTGACCAAAATGAGAGGGTTTATTTCTGGATCTTCAATTCTATTCTGTTGATCTATCTGCCTATCCTTATGCCAATGCCACACAGTCTTGAGTTCTACACTTTGTAATAAGTTTAGAAACCAGTAAGTATGAGTTCTCCAACTTTGTTTTTCTTTTGTGACATTGTTTTGGCTGTGTGATATTAATCTTTCAAAAATCTTTCTTTGTTCATGTCACACCTTTTGTCAAAGACCTGTAATGGCTCTCTCATATTCAAATAATAAATTCCAAAAATTTCCCCATCAGCTAAGCCCTCTCTAACTCAGCCCTGGCCTGCCTTTCCAGCAATGTCTCTTACTCTTTCTGGTTCTACAAAATATATACTGGTCAAACGTAACCACTTGCTCACCTCTGGTCATACCTCATACTTTCATAGCTCTGTATCTTTTGTCATGTTGTTCTGTTTACATGAACTTCTCTCCAACCTCTCCACTGAGTTCAAGACTTATTCAACAGTCTTCTTGGCACCTCCATTTGTCTAGTTTTTATCTCAGACTCAACATATTAAAAATAAATATTTGACCTCTCACCCAAACCTTCTCCTCTTCAGTCTTCCTTTTCTCACTAGAGAGTGCCACCAGTTATGAAAGCCAAAACCTCAAGAGTTATCTTTGATTATTCTCACTCCCTCACATCTCATATCCATCATCAAAATTCTGAGGGATCTACCTGAAAAGTATATGCTACCACCATAGTCTGTGCCATTATGTTCTGTCACCTGAAAAACTACAATTGTCACCTATCTTGTTCCTCTCATAACATGTGATTCACATAACAACAAGTGTAACCTTTTAAAATACAATATAAGCCATGCCACATCTCTGCAACAGCTCCTCACTGTGAGTAAAACTAAATAAAAATTCCCTACCATGGCTTGCGAGACTCTACATGATCTTACTTATCCTTCTTTATATCTACAAACTCATTTCTTATTATTCTTCATCTTTCTTAGTATACTACAGCCACACTGTCTTCTTCTTATTCCTTAAATACACTGAGATCATTCCTGTCTCAAGGTATTTACACCTTCAGTTGAAGCTGTCCTGTAGCTTTCTTAATATGGCTGATTTCTATGCTACATTCAAGTATCAGCCTAAATATAATTTCCTCAGAGAGCCTGGGACTGACCGTAGTAGTCAAGGCTTCACTCTTGTATCCAAAATACATAAAGAACACTTAAATTTTAACAAAATAAAAACAACCCAATTAAAAATAGGCAAAAAATCTGAACTGATATTTCACAACACAAGATATAAGAATGACAAATAAACATATGATAGATGTTAAACATTATTAGCCATTTAGAAAATGCAAATCAAAATTACAACGAGATATCGTTACATACCTGTCACAATGGCCTTTAAAAATCAGTGATAACACCAAATGCTGGCAAGGATGTGGAACAACTAAATCACTCACACTTTGCTGATGGGAATGTAAAATGGTTCAGACACTCTGGAAAAAAGTTTGTCAGTTCCTTATAAAGTTAAATATCCCCTTACTGTATGATCCAGAAATCCTAGTTCTAGGTATCTACCATAGAGAAATGTGAATGATGTTCACACAAAAGCTTCTACACAGCACCTGTAATCCCAGCACACTAGGAGGCCAAGGCAGGTGGATCACTTGAGGTCAGGAGTTTGAGACCAGCCTGACCAATATGGCAAAACGTATCTGTGCTAAAAATACAAAAATTAGCTTAGTGTGGTGGCAGGCACCTGTAATCCCAGCTACTCAGGAGGCTGATGCACGAGAATCACTTGAACCTGGGGGGCAGAGGTTGCAGTTAGCCAAGATCGTGCCACTGAACTCCAGCCTAAGTGACAGAGCGAGACTCTGCCTCAATCAATCAATCAGTCAATGCCTCTATACACATAGTCGTAGCAATTTTATTAATAAGAGCCAATAACTGGATAAAATCTAAATTCCCTTTAACAGTGAAAAGTTGTACAAAATGTGATACATTCATACCATGAAATACTACTCAGCGCTAAAAACAGTAAACTATTGACACATACAACAACTTAGAAGAATCTGCAGAGAATTATGCTGTGTGAAAAAGGTTAATCCTGAAAGATTGCATACTGTATTATTCCATTTATATGTAGATATCACTTACGTAAATCATAGAATATGTATACATATATATGCATCTTTTTTTCTAGGAAAGATGTAATAATAGGGATTGAGAACAGATCAGTGGTTCAAAGAGGGTGGGAATAGCAAGAGAGTTAACTGCTCTAATTCCTAATTGCGGTGGTGATTATACTAATCTATACATCAAAAAAGTTAATTATACTGTAAGACTTTAACAACTATAGGAGTTTAGATTTATTAATCCCTGGAGAAAGTGTTATAGGAGAGTTTAGGCTTGGTCTGAATCTCAAGGAATGAGGAGAGCTTAAAGAAGAAGAGTCAGAGGTGAAAGCATGCAATTTTTTTTTTCACCCATACAATCAACAAAGCTGTATTGAACACATACTACATGTTGAGTGTTGGAAAGAGTCATAAACAAAACAACATAGTGCCTGTCCTCTTAGAATCTAGTTGGGAGAGGAAACAACATACAAGTAAACCAACAACAACAACAAAAAGAAAACATGTAGAATTACAAACTGGGATAAGTGCTATGTCCTTGTGAAGATCCCTACCCTCCTTTACCTTTTTAAATCAGGTCCCTCCTGACTCCATCCTTTTCCCTATCTGGTCCAAATTCCCTCACTGCCATG